TTCTCTCTCTCAATCAATCAATAGCTAGCTATAGGATTGCGAGCAATGCTGCGCAACCCTAAAGAAAGAAAACAGACAACAAGGGAGGGATGGGAGGACGGCACGCCGCCACCACACAGGGATTTTAAGAAGAGGGGTGTGGTGCGCTATCCGTCGCCCACCCTTGGGCGTCTGCCTCTTCCTACCTATCTCTCTTCGCAGTCCCTCGCCGATTCTCGCTGCAACCTTCATGCCACCTCGCGGTCTTCCCACTCTCGTCGTTCTCTCTCTTGTCGCTTCTTCCTCTGTCGCTTCGCTCTCCTCTGCCTCGTTCTGCGACGACGCCGCTGCCTGCCGATCCCTTGCCCTCGCCTCTCGGCGCAACTCTGCCCTCCTCGCAGCATATCCTGGCCCCTCGAGTTTATCGAGCTCTCCTCGCGCAAGGACGACTCTTCTGACGCCCACTGCGACCATTTGCCGCCAAGTCATATCGTTGCTCAGGTCCACTCTCTCTTCGGACACTTGTACCTCCACGGCTGATGCTGGCGCTGGGGTCCCCTTCGGGTGCATCGTGACAGCCCTAGCTAGACTTTTGGTCTACCTGTGTTAGTGCCACTGCGCGCCAGTCAAGCGCCTACTCGAGTACCGGGAGTAAAAGAAAGAAAGAAAACAGACAACCCAAGGGAGGGATGGGAGGACGGCACGCCGCCACCACACAGGGATTTTAAGGAGAGGTGTGTGATGCGCTAGCCGTCGCCAACCCTAGGGAGTCTGCCTCTTCCTTTCTCTCTTCGTTGTGCCTCGCCAATTCTCGCTGCAATACCGGGTGACCGATAAATTCTTTCCCGCGGCGTGCAAGTGCCCACAAGCCCAAAACACAGGTGCTTGCGCGCGGCTCACCGCCCCTAAGACCCGCAGACTGCCCTCGCCGCACGCCTCACTACCTCCCCGCTCCGCGCCAGAGCGATGGACGACGTCTTCACGGTGAACGAGGAAGCTGTGCCGCCGCCGTCCGAGGACTTTGGCGCGCCTCCGGCTGAGGGCGGGATGGACCTTGGCGCGCCACCGGCGGACGATTTCGCCGCGCCGCCGGCCGAGGGCGGCATGGACTTTGGCGCGCCGCCGCCGGACGATTTCGCCGCGCCGCCGGCCGAGGGCGGCATGGACTTTGGCGCGCCGCCGCCGGAGGATCTCGGCGCACCGCCCGCTGAGGGCGGCATGGACATGTTTGGCGCGCCGCCCCCTCCAGGGCGCCGCCCGGTGGGACGGCCTTCAGCCATGGAAGGGGCTTTCGGTCCCCCCAGCCCGAAGGGGGGCCATTGATGATTGGGCCGTGAGGCTTTTGGCCCGGAGTCCATTGTAACCGGAGGGGATTGTTT